GTGGGTACATCGCGACGCCTGAGATTGTCACGTTACTCGATTGCTAGCGCATTCAGTTCCAACATTGAGGTCTGTATACCTGGAGAGGGGTTTCTGGGGATCAACGCCCCCGCGGCACGGTGAGTGACCAGGCCTTGCGGTGAATCAGTGCTTGATCAACCAAGCTGTTACTGTTGGCCACACCCAAAACGATGAGCCACAGGATGGCTGGCCAGGAATTGACTTTAGGTGCCTGTCCAGGGCCACCTTGAAGACAGCCAGGGATCTGTTGGTAATCCCTCTTATGTATGCTGGGAGGCAGTTGAACAGTCTTGGACCCCTGACACTTATTGTTTTGTCTCTTAGCGTATTCGTAGCGCTCCTGCTTTTCACTGGAGGGAGTGGGATGTTATGCATCTCCAGCCAAGTATTTTGCTTTTGTAGGGAGTGACTTTCGTGTGCAGATTTAGGACTAGTCCCTCTAAGATTTTCCAGGTGTCTTAATCATTTGTACTCTGCTGAGTTCCAGGAAGTACAAATCAAGGGACTTCAACTGTTCCTAGTTATTTAGGTGCTTTATTGTAATTATACGTAGCTTGAAAGTTTTCTGTATATTCTCCAGGTCAGTAATTTCACCAGCCTTGAAAGGGGGCTGTTAGTGTGCAGCAGTATTCCAGCCTAGAGAGAACAAGTGATTTGAAGAGAATCATCATGAGCTTGGCGTCCCTAGTTTTGAATGTTCTCATTATCCATCCTATCATTGAACATTAAAATGGTATAAAATACCGACAGGTTGTTAGGTAAGACACATATGCAACAGTTAGGTATCTTTATTTTGAAACGTTTCGCCTACGCAGTAGGCTTCTTCAGTCGAGTACAGAAAAGTTGATAGAAGCAGAAGATATTTGAAGACGATGTAATCAGTCCATCACCCTTAAATTTTTGAGGTGGTCAGTCCCTCAGTCTGGAGAAGAGCATTGTTTCATTTTATGGAACAATGCTCTTCTCCAGACTGAGGGACTGACCACCTCAAAACTTTAAGGGTGATGGACTGATTACATCGTCTTCAAGTATCTTCTGCTTCTATCAACTTTTCTGTACTTGACTGAAGAAGCCTACTGTGTAGGCGAAACGTTTCATAATAAAGATACCTAACTGTTGCATATGTGTCTTACCTAACATCCTATCATTGTTCTAGCAGATGTAGAAGATACATTGTTGTGATCTTTGAAAGTGAGATTTCCTGACATTATCACTCCCAGGTCCTTCACATTAGTTTTTCGCTCTACTGAGTGGTTGGAATGTGTTTTATATTCCGATACAGTTTTAATTTGTTCGAGTTTATCATATGGGAGTAATTGAAATTTCTCATCATTGAACTTCATATTGTTTTCTGCGGCCCATTTAGAGATTTGGTTGATGTCCGCCTGGAGCCTTGCAGTGTCTTCGGTGGATGACACTGTCATGGCAATTCGGATGTCTTCCGCAAAGGGAGACATGGCCTTCCTTGTGATTGGCTGGTTGATCCAAGGTACCAGTATAAGGATAGGGCCTCTACTTGTTACACCCTTACCATCTGGTTCACTGGACGGGAGGGCATGTCTAGGTGAGTGTGTTATGTGCCGAATAAAATGTAGCATGCCACACGGTGCTGTGGCTGACATCTACGTTATATATGGGATGAGGAACAGGATGGGAGCAAGTACTGTGCCTTGTGGAACAGAACTTTTCACTGTAGCCGCCTCTGACTTTACTGTTTACTGTTGCTCTGTGTTCTGTTTGTTACTCCCCTCAAGGGAGGTACCTTGACCCTGGTGAGGGGCTCTTGATCTAGGGAATTGGATCTGTGCTCCGGTTCCCTGAATTGAGCCTGAATACCTTCCATCCCCCCCAAGTGCGCTGTATAATCCTACGGGTTTAGAGCTCCCCATGATTATAATCTGTTACTACGTAAATTTATCCATCAACCAACTTTCCTGTTATTCCTTTATCACACATTTTGTGTGCTATTATACCATGGTCACATTTGTCGAAAGTTTTCACAAAGTCTGTGTATAATACATCTGCATTTTATTTGTCCTCCAGTGCAGCCAGGACCTTGTCATAGTGGTCCAGTAGTTGGGATTTAGAGCAGGTAACTCCTGCTCTAAATCCATGTTGCCCTGAGTTGTGAAACTGATGGATATCTAAGTGGGTGGTGATCTTGCTTCTAAGATGCCTTTTAAAGATTTTTTTTAATGGGTAGTAGTGCTATCGGTTTTAATTCTTTGCAGTTACTGCTACAGTTGTAGAGTGGGGCTATGTCTGTTGTTTTTAGTGAGTGTGGGATGACCCTTGTGTCCATGTTCCCTCTCCATAGATTGCTGAAGGCACGTGACAGGGGTTTCTTGCAGTTCTTGATGAACATGAGTCGCATGAGTCTGGTCCTGGGGCAGAGTACATGGGGCAGAGTACATGGCCATGTTATTGATTACTTTTTCAGTCTTGTAGAGTTAGAATAATGTAAGGAAAAAATCATTTAGTCTGGGTAACGACACTAACCGTTAAGTCATATTGGTACTTCAGCACCTCACTAACTTTTTTGGCGTCATCTGGGTAAGTTTCATCTTGTTTAAGCAAGGGTCCAGTACAGGATGCTGGTTTTGCCTTAGATTTGACATAGGAATTGACTTATTTTGTCTTTCAATTTCATTTTTTGGTTTTAAATTGTATGCTTGTCTTCTGTAAGATTCCATAATCTTATTAAATTTGATATTTGCTATTTCTCTGACCAGTGCTTCTAGTCCCTTTTAGCAGGTCTGTGATTCTTGGCCTTCGCCTGTATAGGAAGCATCTCTCTCTTTCTAGTTAACATCTTAATAGTATGCGCCTTGAAGCCCTTGATCATACCTCAAGTGCCACAGAATTCATTCTTTATAGGCAAAGGTTCGGATCCGCGTTGCTTAGGATATATATATCAAGGTTGTTTCATTTAGGATATGGTTGTGTACGTTAGGCTCGTATTGGAGTATGCAGCACCAGTTTGGAACCCACACCTAGCCAAGCATGTAAGGAAACGAGAAAGTGCAAAGGTTTGCAACAAGACTAATCCCGCTCTGTGTTTGTTACTGAAGTTTATGCTGGTCAGGAGCCCTGGGCATACATGTCTGTACTTCTCTTATGATCTGAGTGGAAACATTAGGATGCATTTTCTTAGGACCTAGAAGTAAGTAGGTACCTGGGTGTCTTATGGAAACACGTCCTAACGTTTTCCAGCTGTACTGGGGACTCGATCTCCGGACCTCAGTGCGGGAGCTGAGTGCGCTAGCGATATTTAGATATTACGTAGTTAGTAACCACTAATAAAGGCAGACTTACAGACAATGTTAGGTAAGAGGATATGTATGCAGCTAATAAAACATCACATTACTTGTACATGTGTCATTTACCTCGTCAATATTTACCTCTGGAGCTGACTTAAGAAATCGTAATGACACGTTTGCAATCGTGTCATTACGATTTCTTGAGTCATGTTGTTAGGTAAGACACATATGCAACACCTAACTGTTGCATATGTGTCTTACCTAACAACCTGTCGGTATTTTATACCATTTTAATGTTCTTGAGTCATGTTGACGGCAGTGAAGGGACTTGAGCTAGAGTTCGTCACGGCTACGCTAGCTGGAGATTCGTCTGTAAAAACTTGCATTTGTGGTCACAGAGGTGCCTGTGCTAACCTTCCTATGGTGTAGAAATATACCTAGTTGGATGAATCTTATTGTGGCTAGCTGGTCTAGTGGCTAACGCGACGGGCTGGAGTTTTGAGACTATGACCGCGGGTTCTATCCCGGCCGGGGGTATGGTTTCCTCTGGAGATGTTTTTGTTGGTAAATAATGTAGGAACGTCAAGATCGCCTGTACTAACCCAGTTTACTTGCACTAATAATGGCCAAGGTTAAGCTATGTTAGGTTAGAAATTGACTTACTGATTCCTGTGTTAAATTCGATGAACGTATTTGCTTTTGGATGGGAAGGGCTGTGTAATAGAGTATAACTCGACTTACGAAATCGTAATGACAAGATTGCAAACAAATCATACCACGGGCGGGGATAGAACCCGCGATCTATCCCCGCGGGTTCTATCCCCGCCCGCGGTATGGATTTCTTTAATACAGTGTAAATATGCAGATTCTAACTTGAAGAATTGAGACACTTATGCAACATATGGGAATCTTTACTGAAGAAACATTTCGCCACACAGTGGCTTCATCAGTCTTAAAGCAGGAAGGTATAAGGAGAGGAGTTTGAGGTAATCAGTCCCTCAGCCTGGAGTCGATGTGTTCAGTCCATCAATCTTGTAGAAAGTACAGCATAGAGCCGATAGTGGATGGTTCCACTGTGACTCCGCCTCCTCCTGCTTCACCTCACCTCACTACAGTATATAAGCCACGTCTACGGCCCTATGCTGTACTTTCTACAAGATTGATGGACTGAACACATCGACTCCAGGCTGAGGGACTGATTACCTCAAACTCATCCTCTCCTTATACCTTCCTGCTTTGTTTAAGACTGATGAAGCCACTGTGTGGCGAAACGTTTTTTCAGTAACGATTCCCATATGTTGCACAAGTGTCTCAACTTGTCGGTTTTCAAAACCATTCATCAGATTCTAACTTGCTGTGTTAGACGTGATCAGCCTGTAGATTAGATATATATTTTTGTTTAAAAGAAGTGGAATAAGTTGCTTTTCCCTAAACATGGACCTAACAGTATGAGTGAAGACAGAGACTGGGGAAAGTATACAAGTTAGAAAGTGTATCAGACAGTTTTCCCTAAACAAGAACCTAACAGTATGAGTGAAGACAGAGGCTGGGGGAAGTTAGAAAGTGTATCAGTCAGTTTTCCCTAAACAAGGACCTACCAGTATGAGTGAAGACAGAGGCTGGGGGAAGTTAGAAAGTGTATCAGTCAGTTTTCCCTAAACAAGGACCTACCAGTGAGAGTGAAGTGTATCAGTCAGTTTTCCCTAAACAAGGACCTACCAGTGAGAGTGAAGACGGAGAGCTCAGAAGAGAAGGTACTGATGAATCCAGCTAACTGACAGAGAGAAGATGTCCTCCAGGAGAGCTCATAGGCAGCATACACACCTCGGTACCTCAGGTCCACAGCAGCAACAATTAACAGGTAGACACCCATCAGGAGGTCACCCACACCCAGGTTCACGATCAGGAACGAGTGCATCTGCCAGAGAAAAAGGTCGTCTGAGTGATTAATACATTTTAAGAGAATGAAAACGCCAAGGTTATTCCTTGGGTAGCATTGAAAATAGGTTGGGTTATACAGTGTTGTTAGTGGGTTTGGGTTTGAGAGGGGCCTGCCTACTATGGGGCAATAGGCCCATGCTAGGCAGGTCATTATGCTCTTATGCCGTGACTGGAACAATATGCAAATAACGGGAACATTGAAGACTGGAACTTATGACGAAGCTACAGTCTGACATGAACTAGCCACAGATTAGCTAGTTACATACTGACTAGTCACACACTGACTAGTCACACATTGACTAGACACACATTGACTAGACACACATTGACTAGTCATAAACATATTGGGGCCTTTATTTCAATGTCATAAATGGAGAATACCTCATCCGATCGGCTTCAAACTTCTACCGCTCGTGATTTATTTTATAAGGAAAGCTTGTAATGTAAGTGGTCTTGGTACATCCCAGTTTTCCAGACATTTAAAACGAATTCAAACATTTAAGTTTTATTACTAAAGAACGCCTTGTCTGATCGGTTTCAAACTTCGTCCCATTTTCCCTTCTGTCTACAATTAGTGTCTTTCAACAGTGAACATCGCGGCTGCTGGTCACAATAACATCACTCTAGCGGCCATGTTATGACCTTTGTAACGATATATTCCGTCAGTGACACTGTGAGAATGTTAGGTTAAGGTTTGTCAGGAACCCGGACAAGTGTTTCCTGACGTTTCCTGATCCACAGCTGGATCCTCACACAGTGAGCACCCTGGTTCGATTCCCGTAAGGGTTGAAACACTGGATATGTTTCCTTACACTGGGTGTTAGTGGACTGGTGTGGGTGGCATCCTGGGTGTTAGTGGACTGGTGTGAGTGGCATTATGGGTGTTAGTGGACTGGTGTGGGTAGCATCCTGGGTGTTAGTGGACTGGTGTGGGTGGCATCCTGGGTGTTAGTGGACTGGTGTGGGTGGCATCCTGGGTGTTAGTGGACTGGTGTGGGTGGCATCCTGGGTGTTAGTGGACTGGTGTGGGTGGCATCCTGGGTGTTAGTGGACTGGTGTGGGTGGCATCCTGGGTGTTAGTGGACTGGTGTGGGTGGCATCCTGGGTGTTAGTGGACTGGTGTGGGTGGCATCCTGAGTGTTAGTGGACTGGTGTGGGTGGCATCCTGGGTGTTAGTGGACTGGTGTGGGTGGCATCCTGGGTGTTAGTGGACTGGTGTGGGTGGCATCCTGGGTGTTAGTGGACTGGTGTGGGTGGCATCCTGAGTGTTAGTGGACTGGTGTGGGTGGCATCCTGGGTGTTAGTGGACTGGTGTGGGTGGCATCCTGGGTGTTAGTGGACTGGTGTGGGTGGCATCCTGGGTGTTAGTGGACTGGTGTGGGTGGCATGCTGGGTGTTAGTGGACTGGTGTGGGTGGCATCCTGGATGTTAGTGGACTGGTGTGGGTGGCATCCTGGGTATTAGTGGACTGGTGTGGGTGGCATCCTGGGTGTTAGTGGACTGGTGTGCGTGGCATCCTGGGTGTTAGTGGACTGATGTGGGTGGCATCCTGGGTGTTATTGGAATGGTGTGGGTGGCATCCTGGGTGTTAGTGGACTGGTGTGGGTAGCATCCTGGGTGTTAGTGGACTGGTGTGGGTGGCATCCTGGGTGTTAGTGGACTGGTGTGGGTGGCATCCTGGGTGTTAGTGGACTGGTGTGGGTGGCATCCTGGGTGTTAGTGGACTGGTGTGGGTGGCGTCCTGGGACAAAACTGACATAATTTGCGGGAAATGCTCAGCATAACAAGCAACTTTCTATATAGTAGTATGTCACTGATGTCAGCTATGATCTGTATACCTTGTACATGTACTAGTATACCTTGTACATGTACTTGTATACCTTGTACATGTACTTGTATACCTTGTACATGTACTTGTATACCTTGTACATGTACTTGTATACCTTGTACATGTACTTGTATACCTTGTACATGTACTGGTATACCTTGTACATATACTTGTATACCCTGTACATGTACTTGTATACCTTGTACATGTACTTGTATACCTTGTACATGTACTTGTATACCTTGTACATGTAAATATTATTATTATTATTATTATTGTCATGACTTTTGGATACTTATTACAATGTCCTTTAAATGTTCAGCTTAATAATAATAATAATAATAATAATAATAATAATAATAATAATCATAATAATCATAATATCTCTACCAGTACAAGATACAAGTTTGTAGATGAATGGTTCAGAGAACCGACATGTTGATAAATTAGACACATGTGCAACTCTTGGGTATCTTTATTGAGGAAACGTTTCGCCACACAGTGGCTTCATCAGTCCATACAAAGGAGAATCTTGAAGAACAGGAGGAGAATGAGGTAATCAGTCCCTCAACCTTGAGTCGATGTGTTCAGTCCATCAATCTTGAATAGAATACGGCATATCAGCGGAGAAGCAGCTTATAAACCGTATGGCAGGAGAGGTGCAGCAGTCATAGGTGGTGTCACGTTTGTTCAATGTGGAAGTAGGTCGTGCCCAAGAATTAGGCAAGCGAAGAATTCCTAAGTATTAAGATCCCAAGAAGTTGCAGTGTCTGACAGGTTTGTAGATGAATGGTTCACAGAACCGACATGTTGATAAAGATACCCAAGAGTTGCACATGTGTCTAATTTATCAACATGTCGGTTCTGTGAACCATTCATCTACAAATCTGTCAGACACTGCAACTTCTTAGGATCTTAATACTTAGGAATTCTTCGCTTGCCTAATTCTTGGGCACGACCTACTTCCACATTGAACAAATGTGACACCACCTATGACTGCTGCACCTCTCCTGCCATACGGTTTATAAGCTGCTTCTCCACTGATATGCCGTATTCTATTCAAGATTGATGGACTGAACACATCGACTCAAGGTTGAGGGACTGATTACCTCATTCTCCTCCTGTTCTTCAAGTTTCTCCTACGTATGGACTGATGAAGCCACTGTGTGGCGAAACGTTTCCTCAATAAAGATACCCAAGAGCTGCACATGTGTCTAATTTATCAACAAGATGCAACTTATACAGACCATAACTCACACCTATGACATACTGTATAGAAAGTTCCTGGTTATACAGAGCATTTCTGGAAATTAAAGTTAATTTTGTGCCCAGGATGCCACCCACACCAGTCGGCTAACGTCCAGATAAACACGGACAGCAGGTGTCTTAAGGAAACACGCCCCAGTGTTTCCACCTGTGCTCGGGATCGAACCTAGGACCTCAGTGTATGAGTTGAGTGCGCTACCAACTGAACTACGTTTACTTGTTAATTGATTAGTCGAGGATTTGTTGCGTGTTGAGTCTCATCAATACTGTACTCACCTAAATGTGGTTGCAGGGGTCGAGTCTCGGTTCCTGGACCCCGCCCCTTTAATACGTAGAAAACATGTATACCATCTGGGTGTGTTTACAGCGGCTTCGTCAGTAGTACAGTACACTGATGTAACAGAAATGTGTACAGCAATTAGTGGAAGATGAGGTAATTAATCCCTTAGCCTAGCAGCAGGTGATGATTGCTGTAGATTACGGTGCTGAGGGACTAATTACCTCATTAGTTGGTGATCGCTGTAGATTACAGTGCTGAGGGACTAATTACCTCATCAGGTGATGATCGCTGTAGATTACAGTGCTGAGGGACTAATTACCTCATCAGGTGATGATCGCTGTAGATTACAGTGCTGAGGGACTAATTACCTCATCAGGTGATGATCGCTGTAGATTACCGTGCTGAGGGACTAATTACCTCATCAGGTGATGATCGCTGAAGATTACGGTGCTGAGGGACTAATTACCTCATCAGGTGATGATCGCTGTAGATTACAGTGCTGAGGGACTAATTACCTCATCAGGTGATGATCGCTGTAGATTACGGTGCTGAGGGACTAATTACCTCAATCAGGTGATGATCGCTGAAGATTACGGTGCTGAGGGACTAATTACCTCATCAGGTGATGATCGCTGAAGATTACGGTGCTGAGGGACTAATTACCTCATCTGCCACTATTTGCTGTAGGTATTACTAGCACTACTACTATTGTCTCGCTTTAGTCCCCTTTCTGCCTGTTTCACTACCACCACCACAACTACCACTATGACCACAACTACCACTACGACCACCACCACAACTACCACTACGACCACAACTACCACTACGACCACCACCACAACTACCACTACGACCACCACAGCTACCACTACCACCACCACCACTACGACCAACTACCACTACGACCATCACAACTACCACTACGAGACCACTAAACTACCACTACGACCACACCACAACTACCCACTACGCACACCACAACTACATCTACCACCACCACTACCCTACATACCACCACTACAACCACCACTACTACCACTACCACCACCACTACTACCACTAATCCACCACCACCACTAACCACCACCACTACAACCACTACTAACCACCACCACATACTCCACTACCACTACCACCACCACTACTACCCCACCACCACCACTACTACCACAACTACCACTACGACCATCCACAACTACCACTACGACCACAACTACCACTACGACCACCACCACAACTACCACTACGACCACCACACTACCACTACCACCACCACTACCACTACAACCACCACTACAACCACCACTACTACCACTACCACCACCACTACTACCACCACCACCACTAACCACCACCACTACAAACCACTACTACACCACCACCACCTACTACCACTACCACCACCACTACCACCACCACTACTACCACTACCACCACCACTATACCACTACCACCACCAACACTACCACCACTACCACCACTACTACCACCCACCAACTACTAACTACACCACACACTACTACCACTACCACACACCACCACTAACCCCTACTACCACTACTTCCACCACCACTACCACCACCACTACAACCACTACCACCAC